GGACGTAGGCACGGCTGGCACAAGAGGAAGAGGATCAGCCACAGGAAGGGGAAGAGGAGGAGGTGATGCGGACGAAGAAGCATCACCAGACCCCACGAAAAACGGAGTAGACTCAAAGAAGGTAACATCAGCACATACCAAGGAACGACGAGAACTGGGATGGTAACACTTGTACCCTTTCTAAGTCCGGGAATAGCCAAGGAATATGCACTTAAGGGATCGTGCATCTAACTTTTCGTTCCCGGGACCCAGATTATGGACGAAGTAGACACACCCAAATACCTAAGGAGAAAGCGGAAACGGAGACATGGTGGGAAACAAGACATTAAATGGAGAACGACCATCAAGGATAGACGTGGGCATCCGATTAATTAAGAAACAAAAGGTGAGCATTGCATCACTCCAAAAGGGTTTGGGAACATTCATGTGGTGCATGAGGGAGCATTCCATTTCTAAAAGATGCCGGTTCTTTCTCTCAGCCACCCCATTTTGTTGTGGGGTGTAGGTACATGAAGTTTGGTGTATAATGCCATGTTGGACCAAGTATTCTTGAAAAGATGAAGACAAATATTCACAGCCATTATCAGAACGGAAAATTTTAATGTGAACGCCAAATTGATTGCGAATCTCAGCATAAAATTTCTAGAAGATGGTAATAATTCACTTCTTTCCTTCATTAAATAGAGCCACGTCATCCTTGAAAAGTCATCAACAAAAATAACAAAATATCTATATCCATTATATGACATCACTTTATAAGGACCCCAAACATCTGAGTGAATTAAAGAAAAAGGACTCAATGCACGATTATCAACCCTAGAGCTAAAGGGAACACGATGGTGTTTCCCAAATTGACACGACTCACAATCTAGAATAGAAAGATGACTCAACGAAGGGACCAAAGACTTTAACACTTTCAGCGAAGGATGACCAAATCTACAATGCCACTGGAGAGGAGAGATAGATGACTGAAGGGCTGTTGACATTCTTCCACCACCATCAAGATAATACAGTCCACCGGCTTCATGCCCTCCACCAATCTTCATTCCCGTCTTGAGATCCTAAAAAACACACATAGAGGGGTAAAATGTAATGGAGCAATTAAGTGACTTGTTCAACTTACTAACAGACATAAGATTAAATGGAAGCTTAGGCACATACAAAAATGAGGATAGGGATACAAGGTCCGGGTCAACATTACCAAAACCACAAATAGATGATGTGGAGCCATTAGCAAGTGTAACAGATTGTGATGTTGAGCAATGAGTGAGAGAAGAAAACACACCTGGAGTTCCAGTCATGTGAT